AAAAATTATGAAAAAAAAAAACAAACTTTCTGTTCAGTAAACCTATTTTTTTTCTAGCTTAATTTAATCAGATGATTCTAAATAGTTAAGTCTTAAACACATTAGACAAATTACACTAATTTAAATTCCAAATGAAATACAATTCTAAAACTAAAAAATAGATTATAGCTGATTTATTAAACTCAATAATAGTCGAATGAATTATGCAAGCACAGACACTGTAAAAACGAAAAAATAAAAAAATAGAAACAGATATATACCAAAAATAAATTATCCTTGGCTAAACATTGATTTATATGTCAACTGTCCCATATTTTTTCATTTAGTTGTTACAGTAAGTTTCTGTTAAAAAGAAGAGATTGCATCTAAAAGTCAGACTGTACTGCTAAATGTTCAGATTTGTACCTTATTATTTATAATTTTAGATCAAAATATTTCTGAAAAACTTTTTCTTAAAAAAAAAAAAGAAACAGATAAAACAAAAATACGCAAAGTAAAAAAAAATATATTTAAACATAAATCAGATTGATATTGAGAGCATCAAAAACTCTTATAGATATCTTAAATTGTGACATTTTGTTTATACTATTTTAAATCTAAATTACTAAATAAATAAATCAAATACAATGATATGTTAAAAAAAAAAAAAATCGAGATGTTATTCTTCACATGCGAGATATAGTTGGAGGCCTGCTTTCACCAGTCTTATTTAAGATATCTTGATTTTGACATCATTTGTCAAACTTTTACATTTTTAAACCACACGAATAGATCATGTATTTCATATTTCTATTATTTACTTATACGTGCGGAAGACAACAAATCACATTTTATTTTGAATACTAAAACAACCCCTAAGTTTAAGAGGATGAACCATAAATCAGGCGCAGAATGAATTAAAGCCAAATAAAACTTTTCTTAAGATTAATAAAAAAAAATATTTTGCTTGAAAAGGATGTAGGCCAACCGCATTTAGGCCATTTTATTATTATTTTCTTTTTATTTGAAATATTTGATAATTTTTTTATTTTTAACAATACTATTGTGACATTCAGGAATGTAGTGGCAAGGAAAATAGTAAGAAAACGTCTGTTTTCCAAGCTCAGTTTTATAAATATGCCTGCAGCGCTTTTTTTTCGCTCTCTGTACCTAAACTAGGCACGGATATAACGAACTTGAATATCATTTTAGATTCATAAATAGTATGTTTGATCTATAGAACCTACACTTATCTCTCTATCTTTTTATTAAATTTTTTTTATTTCTATGTGCCTGCTGATTTATCATCTGCCCCCCCATCCACACCCGTAATCTGCTCCTAAAGTTTGCCCTACATCCCAGCACTGCGTGGCGCCGCTCCAGATGACGGCTCGGTAGCTGTTCCCAATCAGACCCAAGAGCATATGTTGGATGTCATCCTCTGGCAACCCTGTAGAGCTGTGTCATATGCTTGTATGTAGGTCTGGAAACCTCGACAGGACGGCTGTGATAACCTCGAATGACATGTAGACGCAGAGTGTGGTTCCCAGTTCCTGGATTCCCTGCTATAACCTTACCTTTCCCTCCAGCACAGTCTTTGAGGCTGAGAGCCTCTAACAGCCTCTACAGCGCGCCGAAGAAGAAGAGACGAGGGTTAGAAGCAAAGGACAGAAGCTTGAATGTCTCCTGCTTTAGCAACAAACGACACCGCATCTGCTTGCTTCACAAGATGGACCAGAAACGGCGATTCGTGGCACAGTGAGCGCAACACGCACAAGTTCAGCGCCGCACGTTGTGCCGCTGATGTCAACACGCAAGGGGTGCACGGGCACCCCCACCTGGTGGAAGGGAGGTATTGCAGGCTTTCCTTTCAGGTGGTGATGTGATACGTTTGACAACCCTACTGTATTTAGAAGTAAATATATTTAAGAAACGATTATAAAAACAAAATGTTTTAACCATGTAATTTTGTCTTAAACCTGTAATTTTAAAAAAACTTCATTTAATTAGAATAGATTAGAACAATAGCTAATGTAGCTCAGTTAAACTCCCTAATACATTTCTTTGTAAAGTGCATACATTAAGCAAAACAGCATGTTCACAAATCTTGAAAAAAAATTGAGAGAGATAAATCAATACATAAAACAGATATAAAAACACTCATAAAATAAAAGAAGCATTAAAAAGAGCTTGTCACAATTTAGTCCTATATGGTTCATGAGGCCCCTTTGGAGCCCACAGGCACTATGTTGGTGACCCCTGGTTTACAGAGACACACAAACTTGACTCAAAGGGATATGCTTTTATTCAGATTGTGATCTCTGGCATTAGTTTTTAGTACATAATTTACAGCGGGCATGGGCTTAAATAACTTAACTTGGTATCGTGGCCCCCTAAAACCAGTAGAGGCCCTTCAGAGTCCTTGATATTTTGACTTAAATTCTCATTATTGTTTTGGCTGGATGAATATGCCTACTTTTAAGATTGCTCTTGTGTGTTCAAAATTAGTATTTCCAGATCATTAAATTATTTCAAACGTAGCTTTGAAATGCTTTTTTTATTGAAACAACAGGGCATCTGTTTACGCTCAAAAACCAACTTTATGCTGTCTTTAACAAAGATGTTTATGTAATTTCTTAGTTCATCGATCTTATTTTGTTACATATTTCTTTCCCAGAATGTCTTTTAGAACTGCATAACAAGCTATTTTAAATTACTGAATAATGAGTCACATTCTGGAACCTTTCTCCATTGCAGTGAACCGATTACATGATTGACAACTTGAAAGTGTCTAGGAAAGCAATTCTTTCTACATAAGCTTAAATCTGAGCCAAGCCATTTCATAGAAAACAATAACAGAGATTCAGATTTTACTGATTGTCAGCAAGAAAAACATCACTCATGTTTTCCAGTGTCAGCTTTGATTGGTTGATTTGCATATCATGTCAACCCTGCACACTGATGGGTGCTGCTGGCCGCCTTGAACCGAGTAGCCGTTTGAAGAATCCAGAATTAAGAATCCTGTTTCTCACTTTTAAAGCCTTAAATGACCAAGCTCCATCTTATATCAGAGACCCGATTGTTCCTTATGTTCCTAACAGAGCACCTTGCTCTCAATCTGCAGGTTTACTAGTGGTTCCTAGAATTTCTAAAAATAAAATGGGAGGCAGATCTTTTAGTTATCAGGCTCATCTCCTGTGGAACCAACTACCAGTTTTAGTCCATGAGGCAGACATACTGTCTACTTTTAAGGCTAGGCTTAAAACTTTCTTTTTTTATAAAGCTTATTCTTAAAGAGCTTATGTTATCCTGGGCTATCTCTATAGTTATGCTGCTATAGACTTAGACTTCTGGAAGACATAGGGACCCCTTTTTTATCATTCTATCTCTATTTTCTCACTCTGCAGAATTTGTTAGTTCAGTCTCTAACGTTACGCTCTTTCTGCTTTTTCTCATAATAGCTTTGCCTCGTCATTTCCTGTATGGCTGTGATACCATCCTGGAGAGAAATATCAGCTGTGCTGCTGCCAGTGTAGTTTGATTTCTCTGACTATGACTGGCTAGATGTGCTCTCTTCATCCTCTGACATGGGAGTTGGATCGGAGCTCTTCTGCCTGGCTGTGTGTTTCCTGGACGGGGCCGCCTGTGGAGCTGTTTGACAGTTGCCTTTTGTATCTCTGCTTCTTTCTCTATCTCTGCTTCTGTCTCCTTGGACTCCAGTCAGCCTGAGTCTGGTTCTGCTGGAGGTTTCTTCCTTTTTCCTCTCCACTGTCGTTACAAGCATGCTTAGTGTGAGGGATTAAATTTGAGTCAATGATTCGATGCAATCAACTGGTTTTCCTTAGATAGAAAACTTTCAGTCCATTTGACTGTATGATCTGGTTAAATTGCAAAGTGCCTTTAGATGACCTGTGTTGTGAATTGGTGCTATATAAACAAACTGAATTTAATTAGCTGAGAGCAAAACAGAATACACACAAATTACCTTTTTTTCCTGCAGAATCAGAATCATTGATGATAAACTTACCAGATTTGGTTGACATGTATGTTTTTCGTGAGTATGGTTCCCTTGAACCTTAGTCTATTTTTTCTATAAGGTTCTTGTACAGTTTTGAATGTTTTTTTCTTGTTTTCTTGGCATTCAGTTCTCTTTCAGATTTATCTAAAGTGGGAAACCATCCAACCATCTAGCAAGACGAGCAAGATAGGCCAGCCATTCCCTCGTTGCCAATGAACAACCTTCAGTTTGGTTTGAACAGCTGTATTAAAAAGATAAAAAATGAGAGCCACAGATCCAGAGATCCATTTCAGTCTACTGAGAGGAGAAACACCCAAGTCCTGTCAAAAGTTAGGCATTGTTATTCATCTGCCCAGGTGGTCAAAAAGCAGACAGTCTCACTGAAAATCTGAAATACCCTTCTTGTTCCTCAAAAACAAATATGACATTATCACAGCTTGACTTCTAAATACATCACAATCCCTTTTATTTGTCCTATTCATTTACATTTGTCTTTACAGTTGGTTTCTGAACTATCTGGACTGCAAAAAGTGATCTAAAAATAAATAAAAGGCTTTTCCCCCTAGTTTGAGCAGATAAATAGCATCATCTGTCAATGGAATGACTATTCTTGCCTTAAAAATAAGATACCGGTAAATAGATATTTGTGAACTCGAAAAAAAAATAATGGAGATTTTTTTTTTATTTTTTATTTTTTTTTTAATCTTATTTTAAATTCAAATCATCTTATTCCACTGGCAAATTGTCTTACTTAATTGCTTAACACAAGGAAAGGCACACATTTCAAATAAAATGACGTGCCTTTGTAGTTTTTGCAGTGTGACATATATAACGTACTTGAAAACTTTAAACGCCCAATTCTATCAGTAATTGTGCTTCTAATATTAGACATGAAATTGATATCAGATGTGGAACTCGCTAAACTAATCTACACACTTTAATTAAATTAGTCTATATATAAAGTTATGGATGATGAGTTGCAATAGTGTACCAGTATTAAACTTAAAGGATGAATAAACAGGCATATACACTCACTGGCCACTTTATTAGACACACTGGTCCAACTGGTTGTTAATGCAAATTTCTGATCTACAGTCCAAACTGTGCATCAGAATGGGGAAGACAGGGGATTTAATGAACTTTGGAAGTGACATGATTGTTGGTGTCAAACGGGCTAATCTAAATATTTAACAAACTGCTGATCTAGTAGGATTTTTACGCACCACCAGTAGTGTAGTGGTCCCTGGAGAAGTGGGTATACTTACCCTCTTTTTTAATTAGAGCCCAGAAACAATGACACGTAACACCACTCTATGTAGTTTACCCAAAAATACCTTTGTAGTATTTTGTCAGTGTCATCAAATTTCAGTTTTTGATCTCAGAGAGGAAGGATTATGAAATAACTAAATGCTGGTCCACAGACTAATGAGAGACAATTATGGATTCTGAGGGAACTATTCCTTATTCCTGAGTCCATCCACATAGATGACACTTATTCTCTCACTTAGCAAGTCAGTAGTTTATTTTGTAAACCGTCTCTTTGAACAGCTGATTGAACAACAGTTAGTGTGGGCCACTAATAAAACGAACATAACTTAATCAGGAGCATTTTGTTGGTATTACCAGTCACACAGTCAGTCTGCATGAATATAAAATACAGATGAGGCATAAGGTGTTTCAGTTATTTTTTTATACATTTATTTGAATAAAAAAATTTAGATTTCATTTGACCTCTTTGTTCATTTTTCAGCTTAGATTTAAAAATAAAATCCATCAAAAACAATTGGATAAACTGAAAAGTTGCTAAAATTTTAAAATTGAAATAAAGACTATTTTAGTGTAACTCAAAAAAAATTATATATA